ATAGATAGATAGATAGATAGATAGATAGATAGATAGATAGATAGATATGGAAAGAGAAGGAAGGAAGGAAGGAAGGAAAAGAAGGGAAGGGAGGAATGGAAGAAAAGAAATAGACAGAGATATGATAAAGATATAGAGGATAGATAGATGATAGATAGATAGATAGATAGATAGATAGATAGATAGATAGATAGATAGATAGATAGATAGATAGACAAGGAAGGAAAATGGATGACAAGAGATATGACAGAGATAAAGATACACACAGAGGTGGAGAGAGAGAGAGAGAGGTGAGCTGGTGGACCTACTTGAGTGGCACCTGCTACTCAGCCGGTCACAAGAAAAGCAAAAAACCAGGAAGGAAATGGGAGTGAGGCTCTCCAAGCACATGCCACGCGCTGAGATGGGTAACTCTAACCCCTTAGCCGGGCTTCCTTACTTCCTCCACCCAGGGACGGCTGCCAGCGCCTGGGGCTGAGTAAGCGGCATGTGACAGCGGAGCCTCCCCCCCCCCCCCCCCCCCCAAAGGCTGGGGGGCCGGGGGGGGGGGGGGGGGGGGAGAAGGGGGAGCTGCAATGCCTACAACACCCAGAAGCATCCAGGGCTGGCAAAAAAAAAAGGAGCATATTTGCCTGTATTTAAAATAAATTTAATTGTTTTTATGTTTAGAACATAAATGTTTGGAACAGGACTTTCCAACTTTTAAGAGCTGAGGACTTCAACTCCCAGCATTCCCCAGCCTAGGAATTCTGGGACTTGAAGTCCGGAAGTGTTAAAAGTTGCCCAGACTTGGCCTAGACTTTTGGGGGGGACGGGGGGGGGGAGACACTTGGAAACGCATAAATAAATTGCATAAATTTATAAATTCATGCTTCAAACGTTCTGTTCGTTTCTGAGCTTCCGAGGAGGAAAAGGCCCCATTGACGAAGAATTTACTGCAGGCAGAGTCGTCTACTTCAGGGATGGGATTTCTTACGGTTCTGTGGGTGTGGCCTAATTTGTGGGTGTGGTTTGGGGGGTCATGTGACTGGCTGGGCGAGGCTTGTATCTAAGTATTATAAATATTGATGTAAATACTGCATTTTTTTATATTAAAAAAGAGCCACTTTTACCCAAAATCAGGCAAAGCAGGCAGGCAGATTGAGTCGTTCACAGAATCACAGATTCACTCAGAGATTTATCTTTCTGCCATCTGCTACCTGAGTCTGCACTGAAAAATAGAAGCTTCGGTCCTAAGGAAGGTTCAGCTCTGCTTTTAGATGAGCTAGAAAGCCAGAAATGCCAACGGTTTCCTGCTTTCTAGCTAATCTTAATCTCCCCGCACAGCAGACGCTCGGGGGGGGGAAAGAAGGAAAAATAGCCACTTAGCAGGTGAGTTTGATGGCCTGCATGTCAGGTAAGGGATGAGTGGGTGGGGCAGGGCGGGGCGGGGCAGGGCAGGGCAAGCCAGTGATGCAATTTTCCAGTTCTCTGAACTGGGCAGAATCATAACAACCGGTTCTATAGAACCGGTCCAACCAGGGAGAATCCCACCCCTGGTCTACTCATCACCCCACAACTGAGTCCAACATTTAGGCTGCTAAGTGAGACATTTAAGTGCGTTTTGGCCTGTTTTATCACCTGGCTTGCCACTGTTAAGTGAATCCAGCTTCCCCCACTGACAGGAGGACGCCAAAAGAGGGGGGGGGGAATCACACACTGCGATCGTCGTAAGAATGAGTCAGCCATCAAGCATCTGAATGCAAATCATGTGACCATGGGGTTACTGCGACGGTCGTTAAATGTGAAAATGTCCCTTTTTTTAATGCTGGGGTAACTTTGAATAGTCACTAAGTGAAGCATTGAAAGTCAAGGACTCCCTGAAAGTGCCATGGAAGGACCGTTTCCCCCCCCCTCAAAAATAAAAAAATACCCCACCAGTTTTTAATTTAAATTTCACATTAAGAGCTGCTCTGTCCTTGCAGATAATCAGCCTGGGACTCAGCAGAAGTTTATCTTATCTTGTTCTTTTTGCCCGACAGCCAACGGATTTGGTCCACAACTTGCAAGGAAGGCACGCAAACACAAACACGCACACACACACATACACGGGCACAAGGGCACAGGAGCTGCAGAGAATCACAAAATGCTATTTTAACCTCTCCAGGAAACATCGCACAGCAAGCAAGGAATTAAAAAAAAGACGACACACAACGGACTACCCTTTTGAAAGCAAAATAACACACACACACACACACACACACACAATGAAACTGAAAGGAACTGAAAAAGGAAACTGAAGGGTGTCAAGGAGCAAATGGGCCTTGGAGGATGAATCCAGCTTTCCAAAAGTTGTCACCCAGAGAAAGTTTGGACAGCCACTTGTCTGGAATTGCATTTAGGGGTTGGACTAGAAGACCTCCAGGGTGCCTTCCAGCTCTGTTCTTTCTATAAAGACCTTGCCTGGTCTGCACGATTGTGGGTCTGCTTTGTGTATTACGGCTACTTTGATATACAGCCAGTCCTTGGTTTAGTGACCGTTCCCAGATGGGAAAAGGAAACTTATGACTTTTTTTTCACATTTACGACGGCTGCGGCATATCCCCATGGCCATACGGTCCAAATTTGGATGCTCGGCGACTCGTAGTTACGAGTCGCAGCAGACCGGGAGTCACGCGATCCCCTCTTGTGACCTCCTGACCAGCCAAGTCAATGGGAGAAAAGCTGGATTCATTGAACAGCCGCGATCCTCACTTAACAGCCACAGTGATTCACTTAACGATGGCGGTGGGAAGAAAGTTTGTCAAATGGGGGGGAAATCTTTTCTTTGAGATCGGGATTGGAGCGGAACAATTTCGCCTCCACGTGCAAAAATCTTCTTGGAGGAAACACCCCCCCCCCCCCAATTAAATCTCTAGTTTGCATCAAGTGTCAGCCCCCTCCCCACTCGAGGCTGGGAACTACAACACCCAGCATCCTGTGCAGCTGATGGGCGTGAAGCTTCCAAGCATCGCATCGGAGTAAAAAATAAATAAATTAGATTGCTTAGAACACGAAGACGACTTTGGAAAAAAATGGGCCACGTTTAAAGGCTCTGCCTGGAAAAATGTGCCCCAAAGGGGTAGCTGGGAAAGGCTTATGGGAGTTGTAATCCCAGATTGACAAGCTAGCAGCCTCGCAGGCCACCATGCTAAAGGCTTTTATATATAATAATATATATATTTTATATATAATAATAGGAGAAAAGAGGGAAGACTTTTCCTGCACAAGCTTCCAAGTATATTTGCCAGGCATAGTAAATAATATTGTTCTCCTGTTAAAAATTTCCCTTTTTTCCGCCCCCCGAAATGTGGATGTTTTATACAAATAAGTCTCTTTAAAGTCCTTTTTTTTTCCCGTTGCTCTTCAATGAAACAAAACCAGCAGAGAAGCTTATAGAAATTATTATAATCATCAGACTGGCCCCACCCCAAAGGCTCATACACACAGACACCCCTTTAAAAGGAGCAGAGCGGATAGACTACAAAGCCCATCTCCACAGAAGGTGCAAGGGTCATAGGTCAAGGCGTCCATTGGCTGGAGAAGAGAGGGTTCCTGCCCCAGCTGGCTGTGGAAGATGGGAGCTGCAGCCCACTCTTAAAACACCCCCCCCCCCCGTGAAGGCAGGGAGGATAGACACTGTAGTGTCCCTATTCTAGGCCAGGATGATGGGAGCACATATACCCCGTGAAGACAGGGCGGATGGGCACTGTAATCCTCCCTCTTTTCTGGGCTAGGATGGATAGGGAGACTGTGGGTGATGGGAGGGGCACACCCCCCCTAAAGGCAGGGAGGATGGGTTCTGCAGTCCTAACCTAGGCTAGCATGGATGGGGAGGCAATGGATGATGGGAGAGGCACTCCCCCACGGAGGTGGGGAAGATGGGCAGTGTCACCTTGGGCAAAGATTGATGGGGAGGTTGTGCACACCCCGTGAAGGCGGGGAGGATGGGTGCTGTAGTCCCACCCCCTCTTCTAGACCAGCCATGGGGTGCATGATAGGAAAGGTGGAAGATGGGCGCTGTAGTCCTTGACGAAGGCGGATGGGGAGGCCATGCCTGGTGGGAGGCTCCCAGGAGGATGGGCTCTGCAGTCCTCCCCCTCCTCCCAGGTCAGGACTAGAGGCTAAGGACGATGGGGGGGGGCAGGCCCCTTCCAGGCGGGGAGGATGGGCGCTGTAGTCCTAGCCCTCTTCTGGACCAGCATGGATGGGGAGGCCGTGCCTGATGGGAGAGGCACGCCCTGTGAAGATGGGCCCCGTAGTCCTGGGCGGACGGGGAGGCTATGGGTGATGGGAGGGGCACAAACACACCCCCCCCCCGTGAAGGCGAAGCAGATGGGCCCTGTAGTCCTGAACCGGCACGGATGATGGGGAGGCCGGGCTTGACGGGGAGGATGGGCACTGTAGTCCTAGCCCTCTCCTGGACCGGCCTGGGTGGGGAGGCCGCGCCCGACGACGGGCTAGGGCTCCGCGGGCATGGGCTGTGTAGTCCTCCCAGGCCAGGGCGATGGGAGGGGCACGCCCCTCTTCCAGGCCGGGGAGCATGGGCCCTGCAGTCCGAGGGGGGAGGGAGGACGGTCCCCGGGCTACTCACACCTCCAGGATGCGGTCCCCCTTGCGGACCCCGGCGTGCTCGGCCGCCCCTCCGCCCAGGACGGCGCTGACGTGCTGCAGCGGCGCGTAGAGCTCCCCGTTGATGCTGCGCAGCTGCCCGCCCTCGCTGACCTGCCCGCGCACGTTGAAGCCGTAGCCGGACTCGGACTTGACGATGCGCACCACGCGCGGGCCCGGCGGGGCGGCGGCGGCGGCGGCGGGGGGCACGGGGGGCACGGAGGCGGCGGGAGCGGGGAGCGGCGCGGAGGGGGGCGGCGGGGGCGAGCACGAGGGGACCCCCCCGCCTCCCCCGCCGCCCCTCAGCGGGCCCGGCAGCACCGAGCGCGGAAGCCCCTCGCCCGCCTCCTCCGCCATCTTGGCGCCGCCGCCGCCGCCGCCGCTGCTGCTGCTGCTGCTGCCGCCGTTCTGGAACCCCCCCCCCCCCCCGCGCGCGCGCGCCGCACGCACGCACGCACGCACGGTGTGTCACGCGACGGGCCACGCCCCCCTCCGCGGCTGTCTCTCTCTCTCTCTCTCTCTCTCTCTCTCCCCGGCTTCCGTCCCCGCCCCCCGCCCCCCCCACACTTGCAGGGAACGCATGCGCGGCCCCTCCGCAACGCTTAGCAGGCCAGTGCGCAGGCGGGTAAGGCAGGGAGGGGGTCCCGCGCGGTCCTTGCGCCCGCCGGGTTAGATAGACTAGAGGTTTTTCTCTCTAGTCCTGCAGGTTTATGGTAGAATTGAGGAAGCTTCTGGGAGGAGAAGCGAAACGTCTTCAAAAGAAAAGGAGGGAAAAAAAAAAAGCAGAAAGTCCAGTGGGGTTCTTGAAGGGGGGGGGGGGGGGGACCCCGAAAAGCACCTTTGGGACTATCTTAAGTAGATTGTCTTTAGCAGCATTGAGAAATCCCATCCCGTTGGGGAGCTCAGGTTTGAGGGGGGGTGGGGCTGAAAGACCTTGAGGATGGACTACTTGCAAAGCCCTGCTTGCAGGGCGGCCCTTGGAAGTTGCCCCCTGGGTGGAAAGTGGGATCCCCGCCCCAAAGTCCACAAAAGTTTGTTCTTGAAGCCTCCAGATTTTCCTGCTAAAAAGCCCAGGTTGTTCTCAACCTTGGCAGCTTTTAAGATGAGCGGACTTCGATTCCCCGAATCCCCCAAGCCGGTAAGAAATAAAACCACCCCTTTCTGGCAAAGTAACATGGATAGGATTGTTCCAAGACACCCATTAGGAGCCACGTGCCATGCCAGTTCAGTAAATAATTATTAGAGTTGTAAGGGATCTTGAAAGTCTTCTAGTCCATCCACCACCACCGCTTGCATCATCTGAGCTTGTTTGCAAATGCTCCCAACCTGACTGTTTCTGATTGGACCAGAGCCCAAAACTCCCTTTGATCCAGATCAAAAAATGAGGGGGAAAAAAGAATTTGTAAGCATGTCGAAAACAGGGCTCCAAGAACTGCGATCAAACCTGGTTACAGAATGAACCCATTTTTAAAAGTTCTGGAATACGTGGAATCTTCTCACTCGTCCAGGGAGGCCGGATTTATCCCACCCGAGGAGAAGACATACAAAACAACGAACCAAGTTAATGCTAAACCAGCTTAGGCTGCTGAGCAAGCCCGTTTCCTGGATCATTGAGATCGCTGACCTTTAAAGGTAGTAGATGGCAATTGAGGGTGTTAATAAATAAACTTTTACTCCTTATCTAGGTGCCAACCAAGCAGGATTTTTTGGGAGAACGAAGCTTGGGAGTCTTTTTTTGGGACACAAAACCAGGATCGTGAGACAAGTAAAAGAAAAAAAAAGGCACTTCTTTAAACACCATTCTTGCATTTATTTCATAGATAAATATGTACAGACACACAAAAGGGTTCTAAATTAAATTACAAGGAACCCGGTCTCTCTGAGCAAACAGGGATCTCCGGCTTGGTTTGGTTGTTAATTTTGGAGAACGAGGGTTGAAATGGGTTTTAAAATAACGGGAGGGACTCAAGGGTTTTTCCACGGTGAAGAGGAGACAGTGGGAAGCGCCTCGCTCGGAAGGCAAAGCAGAAGAAAAGTTATTTATTTTGAATTAAGCTTTATTCACCGGAAGAGCCTCCTCCCTCTCTCAACCCCAAATTAAGTTTGCAGGAGAACCAAAGCTCTGAAACTGGTTGGGAAGCTTAAAAAACACCGTCCTTTTTCCAAAGTGAACCCGCTATCCCGCTCGCTCCATCTTCCTTCTGCAGTCATGCGTTTCCTCCTCCTCTGCCTCAATGCGATTAAAACCCACGGCTTTTAAGGTCTTCCTGCTCGTGCCAATGCCCTCCCCCTTGGCACGGGAGGGTGGGGTGGGGGTGAGGAACTTGGGGTAGACGAAGCGACGAAGAAGAGGCAGCAGCCGACGTCCAGCGGGTCTGCAGTGGGCACAAACTTCCCCAGGCGGAGTCACAAATCCCATTCATGTCTCTAAGACTCGGATCAGGGGCAAAGGTTTCGGTCCCAGGGGCTTGGTGAACCTTTTGCTGGAGGGGAAAAAAAGAAATGAAAAGAGAAATGAAGGGAGGATTGGAAAGGGGAAGGAGGAAGGGAGAAAAAGGAGAGAAGGGGAGAGGAAGGAGAATCGGAGAAGGGCAGGGAGGGAGGGGATTTGAAAGAGGGAGGAGAAGGAGAGGAAGGAGGAAACTAGACCCCCCCCTCCCCCGACTGGTCCAAACAAGGGCACCGTGTGCGTACAACGGCGACCTTCACGCTCGCACCCAGGCCCGATGGCACACCTGCTGACCGTCTCCGACTTGGAACGGGTGCGGCTGTGGAAGGTCCCCGGGTTGGCCTGCTTTTCGATCAGGTGTTCCATGCGGTCGTGCATTTCCAGGTTCTTCCGTGCAGGAAAAGAAGATTTAGGGATTTAGGGAGGAATCCCTCATGCCGGAAAGCGTGGGAGAAGTTCCTTCCTTATCGATTGCACTACCTTGCAGGGGGGGCGGGGGGTCCAATTTGCTGAAGGAAGGTTCCCACCCCAAAGTCTGGGCTCAGAACCGGCCCAGCCCCTGCATGCAGAGCCCATTTTCTGACTCAAAATTTTTTTCCTGGGATAATATAATGGAGGGTGTGCGCCTAGATCCCAGCAGTTCCCCAACATTCCACCAGGGGGCAGCAGCAGAGCACAGCTTTGCAACCCCCCCCCCCCCCGCCTGGATTCGGCAGGCAGGGAGAGGAGGGGCCGCAGGATACTCCAAAGCCCATAGAAAAGATTCTAGTCCTCAACTGTTCCGGGCATACAGCACCATGGACAGCTGCCATGCAAGCTTACGGACACGACCTCCCCCCAATGTCCCAGTTGGCGCGACGTCCGAGTCGCCAAATAAAGAGCCGGCTCCTCACCTCGGCCTCCAGATACGCCACTCGCTCCTTGAGCTCATGAATGATGCTGTCCTTGGACTGGATCACCGTCTTGGAGTTCTGCAGCTGAAGAGAAAAGACACGAATTCGGAGTCCGTTCCCCCAAACCAGACCGCCCCCCCTCGTACGTCCCATCCCGGGATCCTCGGCCCCTGGACCCACCTGCTCGATCATCTGCCGGACTTTGCGCTGTTGACTCTTCAACATGTCGTCCAAGTGGTGGATTTTCTCCCGGAGACCAGCCACCTCCTTCTCTAGCTTGGCCGACCTGCGACAGGGAAAACGGGGAAACCGAAAGGCGTGGGTGGGTCGCAAAGCTCTTTGCCGAATCGGTTCCCCGGGCTCGGCTGTCAGGGGAAGCAGAGCGCTGAAGATATATATATGTTTTCTGAGGTTCTCGCGGGTATTTGTATGTGGATCTTTGATTATTTGGGTTTTCTCCCGCGTAAGATTGGAAGTATCTAGGCAACATTTCGATGAAGTCTCCTTCATCATCTTCAGGCTTGTGTCTTCAGCTCTGTGCTTCTCACTCTCAGAAGCACAGAGCTGAAGACACAAGCCTGAACATGATGAATGAGATTTCATCGAAACGTTGCCTAGATATTTCCAATCTTACGCGGGAGAAAACCCGAATAACCAAAGATCCATATATTTATTTATTTATTTCGAGGGCCCACCCCAGCCTGAAGCTCCGCGGCAGCCTCACCTTTCCTGCTCGGCTGCCTTGTCCTTCTCCGAGCTCCGCAGGTCTTCCAGCTGCATTTCTCCATCTCGAACTTTCTGCAGGAGGATCTGGTGTTCCTGCGGAGGAGGAAGAGGAAGGCGAGGTAGGATGGAAAGCGCGAGGCTGAGCCCGAAGGGTGGGGGAAGAGATGCTCTCTGCTGTCTCAAAACGCATGTCAGTTCCCCAAAAGAGATTTCGACGTTTCCCGCTTGCTTATCCTGCTCGGGGGGATCCCCACCCCACAAAACGAGCCTGTCTGTATCCCGAGTAATCCAAAGGGGTCTCGGGAGCAACGGATCTCGACGGGTCTCGCGGCCACCAGGAGGAGGAGGAGGAGGAGGAGAAGGGGAGGAGGGGAGAAGAGGAGGAGGAGAAGGAGAAGAAGGGAGAAGAGGAGGAGGTGGGGGAAGGAGAAGGCAGGGGGTCCTGGGTGTTTTCTGAGCTTGCTTATTTGCTTGTCGACGTTTCATGACCTAACTAGGCACCATCATCAGTGCTAAAAAGGAGTGAGGTTTCTGAAGAGGAAGCGGAGGAAGGAAGAATGTATGAAAAAAAGCAAGAAGGAAAAAGAAAAAGAAGAAAGGAAGGAAGAGATAAAGGAGCAGAGGAGAAGAAAGGGAGATCGAAGTAGAGGAGGGGAGGAGGAGAAAGGAAGAAAGAAGGCAGATCAAAGAAAGGAAGAGGAAAAAGGAAGACGAAAAGAAAGGAAGAGGATAGAGGAGAAAGGAAAAAGGGAGAGGAGGAGGAGGAAGTTATACCTTCTCCATGCCGGTGAGGAGCCGTTGCAATTCCTCCAATTTAAGGTCCTTCATTTCCAGTTCCGTTTCGGCTTTCCGGAGGGCGATGCCCGAATGTTCTGCTTCCCTCCGATAATGCGAGATCGACGTCTGAGCACAGGAGGAAAATCCAGATTTAACACTCCCCTCGCCCAGGTAGAAACCCGGGATAATTGCGGGCCTGCCGAGATCCCCAAAAAAGCCTTTTCCCCCCTGCTATAAAACAGGACTAGATACCAGCATTTTTAACGTATGCCAACGAGTGTACATTCAAAGCGACAATAAAGCTATTCTACTCCATTCATAATTCTATTCTATTCTATACCTAATTCTATTTCTACTATTTCTAATTCTGTTATTTCTAATTCTATTCTATTCCACATTCTATATTCTATTCTTATTCCTACTCTATTGCAAAAAAAAAAAAATTCCATTTGCAAGCCAGGCTCACCTACCTCATAGGCCGCCCGATCGGACTGATGCCTCTTCTCGGCCTCCTGAAGTTTTGAAAAGAGTCTTTTGGTTGTCTCGCGCATGACGGAGATGTCCTCGGTGGGATAGGCGGGTTCGTCCTGAGCGCAGAGAAGGGCGATTTAATCCCGGGGGAGCGGGTGGAAAACCTGATCGACTCACCACGCAAGAACTCAGAAAGAGGTATAATAATAATATGCCCATTTCATCACTTCCTGTTATTACAGGAAGTGACGAAACAGGCCTATTCCTCCTGAAAAGCCTCTGGGAGGCCGAAAAAGGCCTGAAATCAGCAGAAAAATCACGTGTGAGGCACATGCATGCGCAGTTTGCATGCAGCTCATGTGCCAGCACAAATGGCTCTGCGTGCCATAGGTTCGCCATCACGATCCTAGGTAGAGGCAGATATTTCTTTCTTTGGGCACAATGAGAATGTTTCTGCAGAACAAAACTCCGTACTGACAACAGGAAGGGCATCTGGCCAGTAAAACGCTTTGCTAGCTCCATTGTTGCCCAGACTCCACCCCGTAAGGGATTACGGCGTTGTTAAAAGACGATGATGACTCCATGTTGGAAACCTCACTGAGCGTCGCTGGCTGGTGGACCAATAACCTTTAAGGACTGTGCACGAATATTAGAATAAAAACAGGGAAAGCCCAAAAATTAAAAAAATAATGACCCAGGCACTGACCTGGCTTATAGATACGGTGCGGTACGTCACTGTCCGAAGAGGCTGGAAGCCGTTTGACTTATTCTGCGTTATCAGAAACAAAGGAAAATAAACATGTCGTTAAGCATGGCACCGCCACCAATCCTCCCTCTCGGAAAACGGGGTGATGGGAGTTTGGCAAGGAGACGTGGCGAAGGGTTGTCGACTCCCCCCCCTCCAATTCTGAAGTCAGGGGCCACCCCTTCCCGGGACCGCCGAGGGCCCCATGGGGCGTGGTGCGTGTGCAACTGTGCCAAGAAACACAACTCAGAGACAGAGTCAACAAGGCTGTGCCAGCCAACCCAACATCTGGGCACGGCTGGGACGAAGGAAAGGAGGAGTGAATCAGCCGGCTAAACGAGCTGGGTTTTGGTGCCAGGGAGGCTCATAGCATCACCTGCCAAGCTGGGGGGGTGAGAGAGCTCCTTTCTGGGCGAAGCTGGAGGGTTTGGCAGCTCGACCCAGGCTGTCAAAGTAGGCATGGATTCGGGGGGTGGGCAGGAATAAAAGTCCGCCTTTTTGTGCAAACAAACAAACCCCAAGCGATTTTCGACGAGGTTTGATGGCGAAGCACCCAAAACCGCAAGCAAATTTTTTGCAAGGAAAATTTGAAGAGGGGAAGGGGGGGGGGTCCAGCTATTCTCCAAAGCCCCTGAAGGCAGGAGAAGCAGCAACGGATGGAAACTAACCAAGGAGAGAAGCAACCTGGAATTAAATAGGAATTTCCTAACCGGGAGGACAATTAAGCAGTGGAACCGCTTGTCACTAAAAGTTGTGGGGTCTCCATCACGGGAGGCTTTCAGGAAGAGCCATGCTTGAGGAAGGGGCTGGACTAGAAGACCTCCCGGGTCCCTCTCAACTCTCTCTCTATCCTGTTTTTGTTCTGGTTTTTTGTTCTGACTGGAGCGCAAGTCTCACGGGGTGACATAAAATTTATTTTTATTTTATTTTTAAACGAACGGGGCCCAAGAAAAGTTTGAGAACTTGGCCCAAGCAGTTCAGATTCCCACCCGCCCCACCCCAAAATGCCAGCTCCTCAGGCAGCCTCTCCCCCGTTTTGATGGCTGGGGCCCCACGCCGAAAGGCGCCAATTACCTCTGAGTGACAGCTGTCGTTTGTCAACGGAGAGGGCCCGTTTTCGTGCTTCGCCCTGTCTTCGGCCCGGGCTTTCAGGTACACCTGAATCACAGCAAGAGAGAAACCACAACACCCATTGGAGAAAGAGAGAGACAGAGACAGAGAGAGAGAGGAAACGGGGTGTGTGTGAAAAGCCAGACTATGGCTAGAGCAATTTTTCCTGGGCTGTGCCACAACGGTGCACAAAAACCGGGATTAGGAAACGGGAAGGCAGGGAGCTTGGAAAAACACACACTTTCTCTCTCTCTCTCTCTCACACACACACACACACCGAGCAGCCTAAAAAAGCAGGTTGCACCGGTTCTGCGAACAAAATGGCACCCTGGGCGGCTCAACACACGCAAAACCTTCCTTGCAGGAAAAAAATAATAATCTCTTTTTTGCCGGATGCTGGTCTATGAAGGCGAAACTCCTTGAAGCCAAGGAAGGAGGAAAAAAAACAAAAAGGACCTTTGGTTTCTTGCTATTTATTTTTATATAAAAAAAAAATTAAATGCAGGTAGTCCTCAACTTACAACGGTTCGCTTAGTAACTGTTCTGAAGTTAAAACAACCGGGTTGCTAACTTAACGGTGGCGTTGATTTGCTTAACGGCTGTGGTGAGAAAGGCCGTGAAAGGGATGGGAAAACTCAATGTCTCGCTTAGCAACGGAAATTTGGGCTCCATTGTGGCCGTTACATCAAGGACGACAGGGATATATTAAATTGGGGTTCTTGGTGCTGAGCTGGCTTGTTTTCTCGCAAACGTTTCATGACCTTAACTAGGTAACATCACCAGTACTAGCCCTGACGATGTTACCTAGTTGGGTCACGAGACGTCTGCAAGAAAACCAGCCAGCTTAGAAAAGTACCTTTCATTTCAACCCTGAGCTACAAATATTCTGTTTTTATTGATATGTTAAATTTATTTTCCTCGCTATCAAACAAGGCCGAAGGGAGGGAGGGAGGGGTTAAGTCTGGCACGTTCTCCTCGCCCAGGGGAAGCCTCTCACCTTAATGATCTCCTCTTCCCCCTCATTACACTTGACGCATTCAGATGCCAGGGTGTGGCTACTCGTGGGTCGGCTGGCCACCATGGCGAAGGCTCTGCCCACCGGCTACGGCGAGAAGACACAGAGAAAGAGTTGAGGCAGGGAGGGGGAGATAAAGAGTTCAAAGCCAGCAAAGACCCCCAAAATACACCCTTTCCGCACCCTCCAGAGGCTGGAGTGAAGAAGGAAGTCAAAACCAGTCTGATTTTGTTTAGACCCAACGGCGTCCAACTTCGGCCATTTTAAGACTTTCCTCGGCCATTTTAAGACTTGTGGACTTCAACTCCCAGAATTCCCCGGTCTCAATCGAGGTTAGGCAAGCTAGATCTCTTTAAGACTTGTGGACTTCAACTCCCAGAATTCCCCGGTCTGAAGAACTCTGGGAGTTGAAGTCCACAAGTCTTAAAAGAGATCCAGCCTGGCTAACCTTTCCCAGCGGCTGAAATTCTGCCAAAAAAAAACCCAAAACAGAACGAAGGTTGCAGAAATGGGGTTGGCCTACCTCGCAGGGCTGATCGGCGCATACACTCACCTTTTGCTTTATTTGGTCAGGTCGGTCCCCGGGGAGGTCATTCTGTAGGGTCAACCTTAAGACTTTGACGCTGTCCTGAAGTCACCATAAGGAGAGAAATCGGGAAAGAGAGGCAATTAGGCACAGTTTGGCTCATGCAGATGTATTCATTCATATTTATTTTAATTTACGGGCTGTCCCACTCTGAGGGTGTCTCTAAGTAGAAGGGGAAAATGTTTCCCTAGTTTAGGTCTGAGGAGAGGAAGAGAATGCAAAAAAATACAATTTTCGGTGGCACAGGGTTTGTTGTTTGCAACATGCCAGCAGTGGGAGAGACGGAGGAGAACCAACACGAGATAAAAACGATATTCAAATCAGGCTGTGATTGAAATTAGGCGCGGGAACCTCATTTTCCTCTGCAAATGAGCTGCCTAATATGTTCCCATCCAACGCTGATGGATCCAGCCGCTTCCTTACGACGCCTGCCACCCCTTCATGACGGCTAAGGCAGGTACTTCTCAACTTACAAGTTCATTTAGCGACTATTCAAAGTTACAACAGCACTGACCATCGTCCTGCCAGGCCACATCAACTGTCAACCGCAGCAACGACTGCCCCGTGGAGACGTCTGTCAAACGTTTTGATCTCCGGATGAGGAAGGAAGAAAATAATAATCTCCGCGCCTGTTTAAAAACTACGCTCCAGCAGGCAGAAACTACCGGCAACTTTGCCTTATCCTGAGCCCTAATGGCACGACACCTTCCCCGAATGGCGTCACCGCCTCCGTATCTCCAGAAGCCACCAGGCAAACAAATAAAAGTTAACACGCGGGACACCGCAACCTTGCCAAATATGGCAGCGGAAAAGGCAGCCGGCCAAGATCTGGTAGGTACAGGTGCGTCATTCCTATCGGCTGCCTGCCACGCTGGAGGTGTGGCTGCCGATTGCAGGCCACAGCAAGGAGAAGGTGGAGGAAGAGGAGGGTGAGGGGGGGGCAGCTGGGGAAGCCCCCCCCCCCCGGATAAAGGAGACTAAGAGTCACCCCCCTCTTGGAAACGTACCAGAATTCCCTGGTAAATCTCTCGCAGACTTTTCCTAGTTTTACAACGCTCACTTTGCAGGGTGGACTTTCGCCCACAAGAGGATCCATGCTCCTTAGCCGGAAGCAACCATAACACGGTCTGAAAGCGTGAAGAATTTCAGATATTTGTAAGACCCTGTTTCTCAAACGTGGGCCCCTTTAAGAGGCGTGGACTTTTGACTCCCAGAATTCCTGGCTGGGGAATTCTGGGAGTTGAAGTCCAGTTAAAGGGCCCACCATTTGAAAAACACTGACTGAAGAGATGCCATTTCTGCCAGTTAATAACATTATTTAGGGCAAATCCTTCAAACAGAGGTGTAAAAAAAATTTAAGACGGAAAAGCAGGTTCTTTTGTTTAAAAAAAAATCTGAAACATAAAAGGAAAATGGGTCTGTGGTCAGGAGGAAATGACCCCCCATGAAAATTAGGCAGCCTACAGGCTCAATTCGCCGGAGGTTGACTGAAGAGTAAGCCCTATTGATGTTAACTAGCCCGATGTTAACTAGAGAGATCAAAATCCGAGAACTTGGTTTGTGGCGCAACCACTAATGTCTGGTTTTTTTCCACCGAAGGCCGAGAATAGCAGTGATTCTTTGGCTAAACTTTTACGGAATTCCCCACCCACAATGAGCCCATTTCCTGAGCTAAAGGGAGCCCCCTTTTTTTCTCCTCGCCTGACCTTCTGCCGAGAAAGCCCGTCGGCTCCATTTTAGTTAAAGAGCTCTGGCCAGATGCCGGAGAAGGAAAACCAGCAGCATCCAAAAACACATTAAGTCAACACAATGAGGGCTTTTATCTCCTGGTGTTCCGGGAAGAATTCATAAACACGCCTCTAGAGAAGATCCAACCCCACCAAAACCCTCCCTGCATTATTTTTGACACACTGCCATTGTGCCTACAGGGAGGGGAAATGACAATAAAGGTTATATCTTAACTGAACCCCACAAACATAGAATAATAAGAGGTGGATAGGACCTTGGAGGTCTTCTAGTCCAACCCCCTGCTTAAGCATATCATTCCGGACAAAATGGTTGTCCAGTCTGTTTTCGAAAGCCTCTGGGGATGAAGCACTCACAACTTCTGAAGGCAAGCTATTCCCCTGGTTGATTGAGCATTCATAAATGCAATGGGTAAATAAATAAATTGGGAAGTCCAGCCGGCAGGAAGGAAGTTATAAAGTCAAATTAATCATGGCTAGGGGGTACGAGAATGCTTCCTTTGCTCCAAACTAGGAGCAGAAAAATTCGTGGTTGCAACTCCAGGTGCAATCCTACAGGTGGAAGAGACCTTATAGTACCACTCCGATCCAATGGTTGTCTGGTCTACCTTTGAAAACCTTGAGTGATGGAATACCAACAAGATTGCAAGGACCATAAAAGCAAGAAACTCAACAGCCTTGAGTCAAACAATAAG